TCCAAGCAAAATTTTATTCAGGTACTGCAGAAATTTGATCAGTATCTTAGTTCTGTTTCTTTTGTGTTGCATTTTCATCATAATCTCAGATCCTTTGCCTATAGTATCTGGAGTCTGTATGCTATAAGGTACAACTATGGAAAAAAGAATCTGCTTCCCAGGGAGCTTAAATAAAATCATACACATTAAAGGGCTAGGCCACAGTGGACAATGTTAGTGAAAGGCTTTTAAAATAGAAGATGAAGTGCTGGGGGCCAGAGAACCTCTGTTTAAAATATAGTTTAAAATAGTATAGTCAGTGAGACACCTTCCGAGTGACCAGCCCGGATCCTTCCCCTGAGCCCTGAAGGTGCTGTGTGATTAGGAGAAACACTGATTTCTCCCAGACAGTGGAGTGTCTTCCTTAAATGAGGCATTAAGGCCTCATTTAAGGAAATCTGGAAAGTGAGGAAGAACGTGCTTGGAGAAAAGGGAGTGAAAATGATCACTGCCAACAACATTAGCAAGTACAAAGACAGAAGTTAGAATGGTGATTTGCAAACTGGAAAGAAGACAAGACTGGAGCGAGTGTGGGAGAGTGGTCTCATATCAGAGTGCTCTGGCCTGCCTCTCAAAAGGTGGCTCACGGCTGAATTCTTGGTTTTTTTTTTTTTTTTTTTTTTTTTATTAGTGAAACACCATGAGGTACAGTTGTAGATTTACAAATTTTTGTGTTTGGGTTTCAGTTATACCATGATCAAGTACCCGTCCCTCTACCAGTGCCCATTCTCCACCACTAATCCCAGTATCCCTCCCACTCCCCATCCCCCCCATCCTACCCTGCCTCTGTGGCGGGGCATTCCCTTTTGTTCTCTCTCTCCTTTTGGGTGCTGTGGTTTGCAAAAGAGGAATTGAGTGGCAATCATGTTCGGTCTATGAATTTTAAGCCAGACAGGAGGTGGCAGGATCATATGGTTTTTAAAGAGGCACTCTACTCCGGCTTCAGACTATAGAGTTGATGAGGGTAGAGGTGGGATTCCTTGTAGTGGGGAACATTGGAGTAAAACTGGGGGCGTTGCAGGCTGGTAAGGTAGCAGCCACAGTTAGCAAATCTCTTCTGGAGGCAGTTACTGCACATTCACATTATAATGCACATACATTCCGTCCAGTTTGCAGATGAGAAAAATGAAGATTAAGGGTGGTCAGAGTGCCTTGTTCAGATTATTTTACACTCAAATCCGATTGAACATAGAAATCTGGCTCTTTGGACACACAGTATTTCTTTTCTTAAGTACTGTCCTTGCTTCATTTGAGAGTGTAATTACAGACCTCAGGCCCTTTCAGGCCTTACTTGTTTCTGCTGAAGAAAACCACTTTTACAGCAGAGAGAACTAAATAAGGCCATTGGCAGCATGAGTGAAGTCACTTCTGTTCTTGTACCTTGTGTGTAAATGATCTTGAGTGTGTTTTCTTTCACAAGGGGACTCGGCCTCTTTCATTAGCTCTACTCTCGTTTCCCTTCCTTGGAAAAACCCCATCCTTTAATTCTTTGTCCCCTCAGCATCGGCACAAATAATGAAAAGCTTGCATTGCCTCAGCTCTGTATAATTTCTGTTCCATTATTCCAAAATCCCAGATCTTTGATAAAGCATTTTGGTACCAAAGTTCCATGCTACAACACACTTCACAACCCTTATTCTCTTAAATCTACTTGAAATACGTTCTGTATAATGATATAATTTATGCATTATCTAGTTACTGTCTGTATTTCATTTAGTCTGATGATAGGGTGCTCTCCCTGACTTTCCTGGTAGTGTTACATATGTGGCTTGCCATGTTCCCTTTTTTGGTGTGTGTGTGTGTGGGGGGGGGGGATTGGGCCACACCCACCTGTGCCTCAGGGTCTTAATCCTGCCTCTGCAGGGCTCAGGGGACCACATGCAGTGCTGGGGATTGAACCTGGGCTGGCCGCATACAAGACGAGCACCCTGGCTGCTGAATTGTCTCTCTGGCCCCATCATGTTACCTTTCTAAAACACAAAAGATTCTTTTTTGGGGGGGGTTGGTGGGTGAGTATTGGGCCACAGCTGATGGTGCTCAGTCTACTCCTGGCTCTGTGCTCTCTTCTAATGTGATTTTGGGGTGCCATATGCTATGCCAGGGATCAAACTGAGGTCAGCCACTTGCAGAGCAAGTGCCTTAACCTTGTACTAGCTCCCTGGTCCCCCCCCCCAAATTATTTTTTTAATGGTGGGGCCATACCCAGCTAAGCTCAGGGCTTAATTCCTGGTTCTACTGTGCTCAGGGATCATTCCTGGTGGGACTTGGAGGACCTTATGGGATGTCAGGAATTGAACCTTTGTCAGCTGCATACAAGGCAACTGCCCTACCCACTGTACTCTCTCTAGCCAGCCCCCTACCCTACCCCCCCCCCCATTCTTTCTGGAACATTGAAATATTTTAGATTAGGCATTGAAGATCTGCATTTGTATTAATCGCTTTCATCACAGGACTCTGTGGCTACTTGTGCAGCTTGTCTTTTTATTGGGGTGAACTTTCCCCAGACTTTCACTAGGTATGTTACTGAGCTGCAGAGTACGAGAGGTTTTTCCATTTTTTGATTTGTTCTTTTTCTTTTCTTTTCTCCCCCCCCCCTTTTTTTTTAAATTTTGGGGCCATTTCCGATGATGCTCAGAGGTTACTCCTGGCTCTGCGCTCAGGAATTACTCCTGGTGGTGCTCAGGGGACTATAAGGGAAGCCGGTGATTGAACCCGGGTTGGCTGCATACAAAGCAATCGCCCTACCCACTGTACTATAGCTCTGCCCCCTACATTCCTTTTTATGCTCGTTTTCCTGTTTTTGCTTCTTACCGTAATCTTGGCTCTATCATTTACTAATTTAAGGATACTGAAGAATTTCCTTAACACCTTTCTTTACATTAATCTGTTTATTTCTGAAAATTGACTAATAATTTTGCCTACTTCAAAGGATTGTTGTGAGAGATTGGGGAAAAAAACACCCAGAATGTTTCCTGGAATTTAGCACTCCTGTCGCTGTTAATATAGCTGTTATTGATTCATATCCTGTTGATCACTTTACTAAAATAATGCTCGACTCTTCCCACAGAACTGGCCTTTGAGGTCATTTTCAGTGCCTTGGCAGTTCTACAGCTGTTGGAGTCAGAGCTTACACTTACATCCCGGTGTCCTTATGTCCCTGTGAGTTTGTTTTTGTGGGAATTGTAGGATCAGTGACCCTTAGTTGGTTTTTTTTTTTTTTTTTTTTTGCTACTTTGCTCATGCTCAGTTGAGGAGTTGGGGGCAAGAGAGCAGCTTTTAGCACCACCAAACTGAGAAAGCTCCTTGGAAGCTTAGGTAGTGAGTCCATTGGTAGAACATGAGCTTTTCGTGTCGAGGCCCAGGATTGATCTCCTTCCTGTACCCGCTTACCAGCAAGGCTGCCGGGAAATAGTGGCCCTGTGGTTGTTCTTGTCCATCCTGTTATCACCCCTCCTCACCCATAAACCAGTCCTCCCGTATTGGACCTTGCCACTGCAACAAGCAAAAGTGCTCATTTGCTCATGTCATACCAGCAGTGCGTGGATTTTATCAGTTTAGGTTTTTAAATAAAGTTTTTGGTGTATTTTGCTTTAAAATAACTATAGATGCAATTCCTCTTCCCGTGACATTCTTGTATGGCAGTCTCGAAGCCAAGAAATGGACAGTTGTGCCCTAGTAGTTCTGAGAACATTGTAACTTCCAAAATTTTTTTAAATTTTTTGCTTTTTGGGTCACACCTGGGGTTACACCTGTCTCTGTACTCAGGAATTACTCCTGGCATTGCTCAGGGGACCTTACGGGATTCTGGGGACCTAACCGGAACCTGGGGACCCAGGCCGACTACATGCACGGCAAATGCCCTAATGTTCTGGCTCCTCCATTGTAACCTTTTCCTCTCGGAACTGTCTTGACAATATTTGTATGTTTATTTGAGATTAAGATTAAAACTTGTTTATAATATAGAATTGACGTATGTAATATGTGTGTATATGGAGATATATCAAGTAGAAATATTCAGATTAGGTTAACATAACTATAAAAAATTAATCTGGAAACCCTAATCAAATTTTTTTAAATTATTATTATTATTATTATTTTTTTTTTGCTGGGGCGGGAGGTAGGTGGGCATACACCTGGCAGTGCTCAGGGGACCATGTAATTCCAGGGACCGAAGCTGCGGCTCCTGCTTGCAAAGCCTGTGCCCCAGGCCTAACGCTTCTGTGTATGTTTTTCTAGGGAATCCAACACATGCCTTCACTCTTGCAGGGGGAAGTGTTCCCCTGCTCAGCCCCAGACAGGCACCTTACTGCTTTTTTGTTTGGTTTGGGGGCCACATCTAGTGTTGCTCAGCGTTTTTTTCTGGCACTGTGCTTAAGATTTAATCCTGGCCGGGTGCAGGGATGATGTGTACAGTGCCAGGAATCGAACTGGGGTTGTCCTCTGCAAGGCAAATGCACTATTTAAAAAGTGGTGTGATAGGTCAGAGTACAAGAGACCATGAAAATAGATTCAAATAGCAAATTGTTAAGTCATACTTCTGAAACTAACACCAAATCTAAGTCATACCTCAGTAAGTAAAATTGGAAAAAGATGAGATTGTGCAAGTGCATTTCACTGTGAGTCTGGGGAAGCAGACTAACAGTTTCTTGAAATCTGTGTGTTGTGTGCCTTCTCTTCTATTCCACTTCAAGATACGCAAATGAAGGAAATAGGAAATAGGTCTAAGAATTTTTTCCAGCTTGTTTGAGCTGAATTTACAGAATCATAAGTGTAAAAGTACACAGTGTATCTCCTATAGTTTTGTGAGATAAATGTTTCTAAAATGTGAGATGCTTTATCATTAACAAAGAATAAGATTATATGTGGGAATAATTTTTATATTTATCTGAAATCAGTGTTCTAGTGTTATCAGAGTGGTTAGAATGAAAAGTAATAATTGTCTCGTTCGTCCTCTTTTGCAGTGGGACTTCCCCTCTTGCGTGCCTGAATGCAATGCTGCACACAAACTCTCGGGGTGAAGAAGGCATCTTCTATAAGGTTCCAGGTAGAATGGGAGTGTATACCTTGAAGGTAAATAGCTTCAACACAGTAGAGACCGTTTTTGAGACAGAATTATGTGGGGGGGGGGTGTTATTTTGAAAAAGAGGTGACAGTGCATTGTGTACTGAGATTTTTTTAAAATAACACCACTGGACAGGGGTTAAGGCGTTTGCCTTGCATCTGACTGGCTTGGCTGAGTTCCTGGCACCACTGTGGTGGCAGGAGCACCACCAGAAGTGACCCCTGAGCAGAGCCAGAAGACCTGAGTTTCACTGAATACAGCCCCAAAAGCAAAACAAACAAAAATTTCGTATCTCTAAGTAGATTGGAGAAGTTACTTCTTTCTATTCTTAGGAATTTTATCTTAAAGGCTGAAAATGACTTTTAGTGGTTTTTAAAGTCATTCTTATATTTCTAATTTTTGTATTAGTTGAATAATAACCATGTGCTACTCTGGAACGTCCTACCTTGTGGGCTTTATATTTCTCCATTACAATTCAAGTATATGATTATTATTCCTTTTCCATAAATGGAGAAAGCCAAGATTCAGAAGATTGGATTTTCCTGCCTTCTATTGGCGGAGAGAAGATAGAAACCGGAATTTTGAAATCTGATCTGTTGAATTCCTGAGCCCCTTTTTCTTTTACCTTAAAAAAAAGTTACTAATTTTTAGTTCCTGGACTGAAAAGGAACTTTCACTTACCTGTGTCTTTTTGTATATAAATAGGAAAAACAACTTTTAGAACTTGAATCAAACTAAAAATATATTACTTCATGTAACTACAAATTCTTGGGACACTCATCCTGGACCCTGAATGATATCAGCCAGGATCTGCCTGTCTGCTTGTCTTTGTTCTCAGGAAGATTCTCTCCTTGTCATATGGAGCTCTTCACTTAACCCTCCTATTCTGTACATGGTCTGGAGAGAAAAGTGTGTCTGGAACTAAAGCAGGAGTGCTTCACTTAGTTCTGCTTTGATTTGTGGTTTTTTTATTTTGGTTTTTGGGTCATACCCGGCGATGCCCAGGGGTGACTCCTGACTCTGCACTCAGGAATTACTCCTGGCAGTGCTCAGGGGACATATGGGATGCCGGGGATCGAACTCAGGTCAGCCGCATGCAAGGCAGACGCCCTGCCTGCTGTGCTATTGCTCTGGCCCCCTGGATTTGTTTTGACTTGACTGCTACATCTGTCTCTACCTGAGTGTTGCCGGCTGGATCGAGGTCTTTGATTGGCTGTTCTTAAGTTCATGATCATCCCTTTCTGGGGGCATGGCACTTTGTTCACAACTAACAATTTTTGTTGTGCTCAGGGCTTACTCCTGGCTCTGTACTCAGGAATCATCCCTGGAGGGCTGGGGGGTCTACATAGGGGACTATATGTGGTGTTCTGGGGCCACTGTTTGGGTACCAGGGATAGATCTCAGCTACATGGAAGGCAGACACCCTCCCCAATGTACAATGTATTCCTTGTCCTTGGTGTGAGTTTGAGAGGTTGAGCAAGTCAGTTGCAGAGAAAGCTTGTTCCCAGTGGAGTTTTTCAACAAAAGACTAGTGATTCTTGGCCTGCATAGTTTGTGGACTCTGTATCTTAACTTTGACGCCTTTATTCAGTGGTTGTATGTGTGTAGCCCACAAACATAAAAATCTCCACCACTTCTTTATGTACTTTGTTGACTGCCCTGGGATTAACATGGCTTCTAGGCACTTTCTGCAATTTTTTTTTAAGTTTTTGGCTGTTGTAGATCTCTCAAATAATAATTATAATTTTAATTTCACTCTGTGCCAGAAGAATGTGGAAGTTATAAAGGAGGGACAGGGGCTGGAGCGATAGCACAGCGGATAGTGCGTTTGCCTTGCATGAGGCTGGCCTGGGTTCCATTCCCACTATCCCATAATCCCCTGAGCACCGCCAGAAGTAATTCCTGAGTGCAGAGCCAGGAGTAACCCCTGTGCATTGCCAGGTGTGACCCAAAAAACAAAAAATAAATAAAGGAGGGACAGCCTGTGCTCTCTGATCTTTTGGAGCTCAGGATGTATTGTGGTAATTATATATTGACACAACATGCCATGATACCAAGTACTGGAGTATAAGTATTCAACTAATATTGAGAAGTAAAGATTAATTTTGAATAATTTGAGCTAAGCCTTTTTGGATAATCTAAAGGAGAATGGGCCTACCAGGACAAATACAATTAGCAATATTCAGAAAAGATTTGAAAGTAAATCTTCTCTAGATTGATGAGCCCCAAACAGCATGGATTCATACAGTACGAAGCTGTGGGGTCATTTGAAAACATGTGTGTGCTGGGGTGGGGTTAGAAGGTTTTCAGAATAGTGTGCTGAAATTCTTAATTAGGAAGATAATTTAGGATAGACTTTAAGCACAGAACAAGAGAACTTGTCAGAATTACAGTTCTGTCTGATTGGGAGAGAAAACCAGGGACTGACTAAGGGACTGTGGTACAGAGTGGGGCAAGAAACATTGGGAAAGTGAAATGCACATGGTTAGAAGTGGGAAGAGAAAGCTTGAAAAGATTTGCTATATCAGCAGTTGACCCGACTATGTAAGAAAAGATAGTTTATATTATTATCTATTTAAGAACACTTTTGTTGAAGTTGTACATCCTCAGGACTGACTAGCAACTACTTCTATAAAAAATTAGTTTTCCAAGCATTTTTGTTTGTTTTTTGTCTGTGCGGACTTCCCACAGGTGCTCTTGTGGCCCAGGGCCCTCTGGCAGTTCTCAGCCAGTTGGAGCTGGCAATTTACTGCAGGAGCCTAGTGGTGGGGGGTGACCCAGACCCCTCCAGTGGTGCCCTGGGGCCTCCAGAGCCACACCCAGCAGTGCTTAAGGGAATAGAAACATACGGGCTACGTATTTTTAAATGGTGTATAGGTAAGAAATGGTTCCCGAAAAATAATTTCGGGGGGGGGGGGGGGGGGCAGGAAAACACAGCCGGCAGTGCTCAGGTTTTATTCCTGTTATTCCTGGCTCTGTACTCACAGATCACTCCTGGCTGTGCTTGGAGGACCATATGGAATGCGGGGGTCAAACCCAGGCTGGCAAACACGTGTGTGCTGTACTTTTGCTCCGGCCCTATTCAGAGGAATAATTCTATAAAAATCTAAGCGAAAAGTAACATTTCCTCTGTCAATCAGAGGTCACTACCTTGACTCCTATATCATGTGAGCTTGTAGGTAAAAGGGTCATATTTTGTTGTAACATGTCAGAATTGTTTTTATCTGATATAAAAATAAAGTGGGAAGTAGAAGTTTATCGAGGAAAAAGAATCTATACTTTTATTAATTACAAATGGCATTCACTGATGTGTATGTATGTATTTCTGTGTATCACAAAAGGTCTACAGTACCTAATATTGCGCTCATGTGATGCCACTGTTCTGAGCATTTTGCATTTATTAGCTAACTTAATTTCAGAATGCTCTTTTAAGGTGGAAGCTGAGGTCTGAGAGGCAAAGACTTAGGTCACCAGTGCTGCAGAGTCAAGATAGGAGGCTACCACTGCAGCAGAGAAAACCTTGTCACTTTGCAGCTGTCCTGTTATGTGCTTCAGATGCTGCATACTCACAAGTGTCCTTTCTGATTAGCACTGACTTGCCACTGCAAAAACCAAAGAAGCTCCTATGATTCAAAAAAGAAAGACCAGGTAGATTCAAATAATAGACTCTCAACAGTCACTGTCTTGCTGACTAGGCCATAACAGAATTCACAGCACATATCATTACACGTGTTTTATCAAAGAGGTAGTGTGTGTGTGTGTGTGTGTGTGTGTGTGTGTGTGTGTGTGTGTGTGTGTGTATCTCATAAAATTGTTGTATAAATTAGTTTATATTTATTTTTTATTTTTTTAAAAAGTTAAATGGAATTTATTTAGAAATTCAATAAAATATGAAATATAATGATTAAGCACATAAGACAAATCAAAAAATTAACTGTGATAATAATCACTAGTGGGAAACAGGTAGTTTTCATGTATTTTCTCAAGAATGTTCAGTTTTTCTTTGCACAGTTGGATTTTATTTTGTTTTATTAGAGATTAGTTCAAACTAACAGTCATTCAATCAAAAGGTGTGATACATAAATTCAATAAATTTGAGGAAGTTACTAAAATTTTTTTTGACTTGTATAGTGATGGTTTTTTCTCTCTGTGAGAGCTTTAGTTCATATGTCTGGGTATATGTATCAAAGGATTTTACTATAGAATATATTTATTTTATTCATTAGCAGAACATCATGAATTTTTTTTCAATTTTTTTATTAAAAATGTTTTTAATAGTGAGACATCATGAGGTACAGTTGCAGACTTACACATTTTTGTGCTTGGGTTTCAATTATACAATGATCAGTATTAGTTTTTAATACTGAACATTTCATTGCTTTTTTGAACATACACGTTTTGGGGGTTGGGGGTGCCATACCTGGCAGTGCTCAGGGCTTACTCCATCACTCCAGGCAGGGCTTGGAAGACCATATGGGATGCTGGGGATTGAACTCAGGTCAGCCGCATGCATGCAAGTGCCCTGCCCACTGTACTATCACTCTGGCCCATACACTTTTTTTGTGTGTGTCTACGTCTCTCTACTGTGCCAACAACGTGACTAGCATGTTTAATTTTATTTTTTAATGCATATGGAATGGACTGGAGCGATAGCACAGCGGGTAGGGTTTTTGCCTTGCATGTGGCCGACTCAGATTCGATTCCTCCACCCCTTTCGGAGAGTTTGACAAGCTACCGAGAATATCCCACCCATACGGCAAAGCCTGGCAAGCTCCCTGTGGCGTATTCGATATGCCAAAAAGAGTAACAACAAGTCTTACAATGGAGATATTACTGGTGCCCACTTGAGCAAATCGATGAACAGCAGGGATGACGGTGCTACAGTGCATATGGAACAATGCTGAGAGATGAGAGGGATTCAGAAATCATTGTTGAATACTGAAAAGTGGCCAGCATTTCTTAGTTGCAAGAGTGCAGACCAGGCATTTCATCCCTTGCTTTGTACATGGTACTGATTAATCCTAATTGGCTGCCTGCATTTCAGAAGGATGTGCCTGATGGGGTGAAGGAGCTTTCCGAAGGCTCAGAAGAAAGCAGTGATGGCCAGTCAGATTCCCAGAGTTCTGAGAACAGCAGCAGCAGCAGTGATGGCGGCAGCAACAAGGAGGGCAAAAAGAGCAGGTGGAAGAGGAAAGGTAAATCCGCCGACCCCCTGCAGTACTGAATGCCAGAGGTCAAGTTCCTTTCTTAATAAGTTCCTTTCTCTCCTGCTGCCCGTCTCTTTCCCTCACTCTTTGAGTCAAAACTCACTGGATTTGCAGTGATAGGAATGTTTTTTATCCATGCTGTCCAAGCCAGACGCAGTGACCACTAGACATATTCATCTGTTGATTACTTGAAATAGGGCTGTTGTGACCGAAGAACTGACTTTTTCATGTACATCCAAATAGTCGCGTATGGCTTAGTGGCTGCCATATTACTGGACAGTATAGCTCTAGTTTTTACTGGGTGTAATCTCAACTCTTAGCCATCTAAATCCATTTTTAGGATCTTTCGCTTTTCTGTTCTTATTATCTAAAATCAAATGTATTATTCTATAAACCTTTTCTTATTAGGAAATCAGGTGCTTTTCATGTCTGCACTGGCAGCTATGATTACATAAATTCAGTCATCCAATCTGCTAGGTTTTGACCTCATCCTCTTCGATGTCTGCTTTATAGCTTATCTCCCCCCCACCCCCCCCCCCCAAAAAAAAGAAACCTGTAGGAAGTAGTAATGCTTTTGTCACTGTAGCTTCCCTCCAATGGATATTTTTCCACTTAAGGTTACATTTTTATTATCAATGCTAATTTTAGTAGCTTCCTGTCAGAGTCTTTTTGAAGAAGGAAAATCCTTTCTTCCTCCACATTTATAAATGCAGCTGTACTTCATAAGACAGAATTTAAGCAGCTCATAGTTATTCCTTTGTATGGACTGATACAGTGATTTTCTAGAACAATTAAGACATGCAAGAGTTTTCTTAGCTTCTCATCCTCTTGGGGTAGAGGCAAGCTTGCTTGTCCTTGAGTTGTTTTGGGTAAGGAGTTTTCCAATCTAAAAGCTAGTATTGTGTTTGGATTACTTGACATTCTAAAAAACCTTCAGAACTGTTACTCTAGAGGTATGTCAGAAAAATAGTCTGATTTTCATACACTGTTTGTGAGTGTGCTTTCCTGAGCACTGTCTGTGCTCTGGTATAGCTGCTACTTGTAATTTGGGCAATCTTATAAACAGATGATTTTCACCCTAAGAGCATGACCGGTTGGAGTACGATTGCAGACCTCATATGTTAGAAACAAATGGAATAAAGACCAGACAAAGCTGGGCCTGTACACAGAATGCACATGTGTTTTGTTTACTTGTATGTGGCTGACCCAGGTTCAACCTCTGGTGGCTGACCCAGGTTCAACCTCTGGCACCTCATACGGTTCCCCAAGCATCACAGGAGTGATCTGTGCAGAGCCAGAATAAACGCTACCAAGTGTTCCCCCATCCCCCAACAAAAAGATGTTCTGTGAAGGTTACTTGTATGGGAAGCCTATGAAGTCCAGAGCAGAATAGAAACTATATGATGTTCAGAAGGATTTCTTTTTATCTACATAATACCGTGTGGAATTCTCATTTATTCTAGCATTTCTGATAGTCTCAAGGAATGAAGAGCGATCTAGTCTCTTAGAATATGCCCTTCTCGTTCATGAATTATACAAATGGTATATGGCATAGCTGTCATAAAGTTTTAGATATGAAAGTATGAATTTTTTGTGGTCAGTACAAATTAAAGTTGAAAAGCCTGCAGTGCTAGTCATAGCACGCAATAAAGCTGTCCTGCTTCAGTTACAGTTATTAATAAAGCTAAGGCAGTGTGCCTATTCCTTTCTTATTTAGGGCTCTTACTCTCAATCTGACATCACTTTATTTCAGATGCATTGTAAGACAGGAAGCACATTGAGATAGTATCAAAACCCACTTCCTTTTATGTACAAAAATAAAGAGCTCTGACAGCAAAACTGATACTTCTGGTTGAAAATCGATAGAAACTTTCTTGAGTTATACCTTTCAGTCAGATAGGAACATAGAGCAGGACTTTAAAATTCAGTTCAATATTAGAACTCGTTTCTTGATTTTTAATGTAAAGCGGAAGAACTTAGTTGTAGTTTTGGTTTCCTAATTTTCAGACAGGAAATAATGTTCAGAAAAGAGCTTTATGGAATTCCAAGCCAAGGTAAGGTGGAATAACTCCAGAATGATGATGATAAAATAAACAATTTCTGTTGCTTTTTTGTATGGCAGTAGTTAAATAGAATCTCTCTTTTTCCAGAAAGAGAATAGAAAAATTGCAGCATGAAACAATTGTAGAAGTACTATTTTTAATCTTCTAATTGATAAAAGTTTTGTTACATTTTGGTCGGCTTTTAGAGTGTTTTAAGAAAATAATTGTAAGCTATATCTTTTAAGCAGTGAGGGCTTTAGTAATTCCAGAAGCATGAGCTAACGTTAATTTTACTGCTTATTCAGAATTGTTTTAAATTGGGTTTAAAAGTATTGTGCTTGGAGTTGCTTATCTGTCTTCCCTCTAATATAATTTGAGTGTTACACTTCTGAATGACCATGAATAAATGCAGACATGTATTCGTTAAAAAGTGTGCTGGGGAGGAAGATCCCTTTAGACCTAGTTATCTTATACAAGAAGAAGCTTTTGGGGACATACTCTCTATTTGGGGGTTGTTGCTTGATTGAGTTGGAAGTTTTAGCACTGTCGGGTATTGAAGATACTCTTAGTACCTGGGTACTTGAGAGGCAAAGGAAGTTGCCTAAGTGTAGCCTTCTGGCTTAGGGGACACTGAATGGCATCTGAAGCTACCACTTGCCCGGCCTTTAGCTAAGGGAAGAAGGGACTTGGCCTGAAAAGGGTCACTTGTGGAGGTGAAATTCTGCCAACAAAAGACTATGAGGAGAATAAATACTGAAAGAGAAGGATTACTAGTTTTGAAAATTAAGATAATTTGGAAACTTCATTATTACCATTTCTTCCACTGTTAGTCATCCCACAATGGAAAGATGGATTTCATTTTGTAATTACCATTCTTTTAAATATTTTAAATATTAAACAGTCTTTGATATTTTAGAGGGCCCTAGAGGAGAAAATAAAATACTAATTTTATTTTAGGTCACTAATTTTATATTTGGAGCTTTTAAAGCCTAATGTACCCATCACAAGTAGTAAACTCTTGTATAGTAATCTGCTAAATGGAAAATTCTCAGTGCTGTAATTTATATGAAAAAAGTCCTTCTGAATTTATACTCAGTGATACATAACTGTTCTGGAGCACTGTAGCGCTGTCTTCCCATTGTTCATCTATTCACTCGAGTGGGCACCAGTAACGTCTCCATTGTGAGACTTGTTGTTACTGTTTTTGGCATATCGAATACGTCAGGTAGCTTGCCAGGCTTTGCCGTGAGGGCGAGATACTCTAGGTAGCTTGCTGGGCTCTCCAAGAGGGACGGAGGCATGGAATCCGGGTCAGCAGCGTGCAAACACCCTGCCCACTGTGCTCTCGCTCCGACCCATAACTGTCCAAGATAGTTAATAAAATAGAAGCACTTTTAGTAAACTATGTAAAATTAGATTTAATGAGCCAAAAGTACTGAATTTTATTTTAAACATTTTCTGAAAACAGTTTAGGGAGGCAGGTGCTGGGCCATACCCAGTAGGTCTAGCTCTGTGCTCAGGATCACTGTTGATGGACTTGTGACCATATAGGATGCCAGGGGTTAAATCCGGGGCAGTTGCAAGTGCCCTACCCACTGTACTGTCACTCTGGCCCATGGAAACATTGAAACCTTAAGTAGCTTCTTTACTGGGTTGCTCTTTTATATTTTGCTTGGATTTTTTAATATACTATGATGAGAATCAGGATGAGGATGATGTCATCTGAGCAGTGCCCAGGGGAGCCAGGGCTCCTCCCAGTGACTCCGCTTAAGGGGCTGAGTAGTTCAGTGGTGGGGACATTTGGGGTCATACCTGGCAGTGCTCAGGTGCCCAGGTGGTTTCTAGGGTGTGCCAAACATAAACCCGTGCCTTTTGAACTGCCTCCTCACCTTTGTATGTGTGTGTAGTTTTACTATACAGATGCTGCTTAGTAACTGCTGGTTTTTTGTTTTTTGTTTTTTGTTTTTTCCTTTTCTTTTTGGGTCACATCCGGCGATGCACAGGGATTAGTCCTGACTCTGCACTCAGGAATTACTCCTGGCGGTGCTCGGGAGACCACGTGGGATGCTGGGAATCGAACCCGGGTCAACCGCATGCAAGGCAAACACCCTACGCGCTGTGCTATCGCTCCAGCCCCACTACTGATCTTTTGGTCAGAATTTGTTAATCTTTGGCTAAATGTGTATGTTTATAGAAAAGCGAACATTTTTGTTTCTAATCAGATACAATATTTGCTCTTAAAAGAAGTGCCCTTGATTGTTGAGCCGTTCACGTGAAGGGTTGTGTAGGCCTTGAATTTACTTGCGAAACCTAAGAAAATGTACCATTACTTGGTAAATCATTCTTTTTTCCCATGTGTACTGTTTACAAGATAATTGGAAAACGGATTTGAATGATACATAGATCCCACTTGAGAGTTCTTCATATTAAAGGTTTAGAAGAAACGCTGGTAATTGGTAGATGTCTTAATAAGTACATTTATATGAGGCATAAGAAAATTTTTCTTTCATTATTGTTGTGGGTGTCACACCCAGTGATCCCCGTGATATTCAGGCTGCTCGTGGCCACAGGAGCCACACCCAGACACACTGGGGGATGAGGCGTGCGGTGCGAAGCTTGAATTCAGGGGCTCACGCACTTGACCATTTGAGCCACGTCCTTGGCCCTAGATAATTTTAATAGACTCTTCTTCCCTTGAGAGTGAGATCTCTAGGAAAGACGGGGCAGTGTGCAAGAACATAGAATGGCACCAAGGTTGAATGGACAGTGGTTTTAGAAGTCTCAAGTAGGTCTGGCAGGGAAAGGGCATTTGTGAGCAGCATATGGGAACTGATCAGTAGTCTTATCGCTCGTCTTGGTTATTAGTAGCCATAAAGTGAGGGAGGTGGGGGGTGGGGGCTGCACTCAGGGTGCTCCAGGCTTACGCCTGGCTCATTCTGGCAGGGC